GTTCAAAAGATAAGGCAACAATAAAAGAGCTATCAGACTGGACTTAGTAATATATACACCGTACTCGGTGGAATGGGATATCTTTCATGTCTTCCCTATGATCCCGGGCATAGTCCCAAAGATAATAATCCAGTAAAACCGCATTGATCTTTTCATGCATGTCCTGACCCTTCTTCTGATAGAGCTCCTGCAGGTGCTTACAAATCAATGCACAACACCAAATAGAACAGCCACGGATCTCTATCTCTTCTTTGTCTCCAGACTGGAAAAGTGTTCCTGCAGAAACAAGGGACAGCAATCCATTTACATGCAATAGACAGAAGGCCAAAGACTGCCTATATTTTCTAATTCTTCTTCCCCTTCAAATTTACTCTGTTCTAGGATTCCCTCTCTCATGGCTTACCCTGTAACTGTTAACCATGTTGCTATATGTTTTGTAATGATTATTTTAATTTTACCATACTGCACTTAGAAGCTTCCCTCCCATTCTCTTCAAACAGCATCCTGTATTATAAGGAACTGCTTTATCAGCAGGGTGTACTGCAAATCATATGACCTTTTTTTTGCTTGTAGACAAAAAAAAGTTAAGTCTTTTATTATAGTATACTTTTTAGTGCATAATTATTATACTTCATAGTATATATTCTGCCAGGATGACTGAAGTCTAAGATTTTAAAAATAAACAGCCTCCCAAAAGAACTGAATGTAAAGAGAAACAGTGGAATTATTTAAATGGGAATGTTCTTATTAGGATTCATGGAAGGATAAAATGTCTAAGAGGTCTATTTAATATATAGATATGCATTAAGACATAAATACACGTATGACCATTCTTTTAAAATTCATGTGCAACTGCATTAATCTGTTTGTCTTCTGAGTATTTCTGAAATTGCATAATAGCAGTTCGACATCTAAATACAGTCATTTTACAGTGCAAAAGAGATTTATTCACTAAAATTCATGGTTAGTAAGTACTGGAAAGATGAAACCATGCTTAAAAAAGTGAGATCCTAGTCATATGCAATTAACTTCATTTAAAGCAATATTTTTTTAATGGATGCTTATAATATGACTTTGCTTATTAACTAGCAGTTCAGTACAAATAAAGAGGAATTCCCATGCTTTTACATCATATTTGAATTAATGACAATCATAGTTTATTTTATGTAAACCTCAAAAATCCTAACTATTTTCATACTGAAAAGTGGTTTTGCAACAGCAGCTTTTCAGAAACTCAAATTATCTTTGAGTCTCTTTAATCCCTCCCTTATCCATGTTTAATCCACAAAACAGTTAGGTCTTTATAAAAAAGTAACCTTAAGATCTCACTCAAGATCACACATAAAGTTCCTTCCTGTTAACTACGTAAGAAATCCTTGTTCCCTGAAGGAAAAAAACCTGACACAACACCGTTAAATGGACAACATATTACATTTCAGAAATTGCCTTAGTCTACAATATCAGGTGGTAAGATTACTTATAGCAAGGACAGAACAAACCTTCACGTAGTTTCTTCATTAATTCTTCAGAATACTTCATTGCTTTTAAGTGAACAAGAACTTGTGGAATTCTGTAGTCAGCAAATATTGTCAGACTGGAAATATCATCAAAAGAGCCGTCTCCTTTGCCTTCTAAAACACTCCATGTGTCAGCCACAAGTATTTGTGCCCGTTTGTAGAAAGACACCTTCTTTTTCTGAAAAAAGGAATTTATGGATTATTTTAGTCCCTGATCCATAAATATAGCAAATAACACATTAAGCATATCATATTGTTAAGCAAACATTAGTTAACGAAAGAATAAAATAATTTATTTTCTTTTTTTTTTTAAGAAATCTAAATAAAATTCACATTTGAATTTTTTTTTTTACAATTTATTTTAAAAGTATTATTAAGAATAAAACCGCAACACTCTTAAATATCTTAAAATCTAAACAATATCAAACTACAAACATGGATTATGTGGAATGCTCATAAATAAACTGAAATAAAAGAATAACATAATAAAAGTTACTGCAGCAAATAAAAACTGCGCAGTACATGCCTGGATATCAAAACACATTCATAGTTGTTTACTGCCACTTGGCGAACACTGTAGTTGAATGTCCAGCAACATTAATTTTCAGAAACTCTAGAGTACATCCAACCTTTAATTTGACAAGAAAAGCATAACACACATGTATTGTACTAGACAATTAAAACGTTTTGTTAATCCATTTATCTGTACTGTTAAAGAAATAGGATTCTGGTGAAAACTTTAATGAATGGTCCTCTTCGTTTACTTCCAAGATACTATTCCCGACAGCAAATTACATCTTTTGTTCTTGAATGATATTCTCCAAAAGCACTAAGAAGTTCAACTACATTTCAAAGAACGACTTCCTCAAAATTCCTGCATTCCCTGTACCACATTCTGTACTTGATAAAGATGCTCAAACTTACTTCTAGAGAACATACGTGATTTTGTATGGTAAATAACAAAACACCAGCTTAAACATCATCACACAAGAAGTGGTAACAAGAATTAACAGACCAAATTTTATCATAGCTCCTACTGTCCCAAAAGCAAGGGTGTCATTCCATAACATTAAGAATTTTCCAGCAGTAAAGAACTGATCGTCTCTACCACCACACCATTTCACAAGAGCAGAGGAAGGCAAAATTAGAATAGAACTTTTCATTTCATGCTGGAGTTTAATTAGGAAGGAAAATATTGTCTGGGACTCATCACTGAGAAGATAAATTTATAATTTCATTGTTTCAATTATTAACTTTTGTGTTGCGCAGAACTTACTAAATTTATACAAAAATTTCAATATGCAAAAGACTATGAAGCATTTCGAGTATATTTTCCCACTACTTATCAGAAAGCAAGGAAGGCACTAGGTGGATGATACTACATGTCAAAGAGAAAGAACTCAAGAGCTTTTTTACTCTGCAAGTGACTGCACTTGGCACAGATTGTCTAGAGAGGTTGTGCAGTCTCCCTCATGGAACATACTGAGCTGTCTGGATGCAATCCTGTGCCATGTGCTGAGGATTGACCCTGCTTGAGCAGGGAGGCTGGACCCACTTACGGTATAGTCCCTTAAACCCTTACCCACTCTCTGATTCCGTCTGTGAAAGACTGTAAAGATAGCACAATTTATCAAAAAATGGAGCTTTTTTCAACATGGCAATACAACTACTTTTCTCTTTTTTTTCTGCAACACCTGTCTTTTCAGGAAATAGTACCACACACAGGAAACATCTGCATCTTCTCTGCAGTATAATGTGGTAATATTAAGGAATATGTCTAATTATGACCTACTGACATTAAAAGAAAGGAGGAGTATTGTGTTGGCAAAGACCAAAATGTGATAGTACAGCCATTAAAAAAAAAAAGTAAAGAATAGGATCAAGAGAATTTTACAATCTCAGTCCCAGGTGATAGATGGTAAGTAAAAGAAGAATACATACAACATATGGGACGATCAAAAAGAACTCCACTAAGTCTCTGTCAGAACACAAAAACTGTGATACATGAGTAGAGCACAGACTATAACTTAAACTGCTGTTGGAAATCAAAAGCAGCACATCTAAATATGAATTATGCACCAAGGAGGAAAAAAAAAAAAATTGGAGATTTTGGTCTTGGTTTGCATTTTCTTTTTCAGAAAAACTAACACTGGCAATTTCGGTGAATATGTGTGCAATTATTAAAAGTATCTTCTACATGTATTCAGAATTTGACTGTATACAGTCAAATAATTACGCTAATTTTAGACGTTTCCCTAGAAAGTCAGCTGTAGCAGTCTGTGATAATATGATTCTAATGTAGGGCTTATATCTATTTCTCCTTTGGAGAGTTACTGAAAAGCACTGGTTTGCTGTTTGATATTTCACCATCTTTCCAGTTCCTTCCTAACCCTTTAGAAGTCTTACTCATGAGAGTTCAACCTGCTGCCATAAAAATAATTTGACCTATGTCACTACCTTCAAAATAGACATCTTGCTTAGTGAAAGCAGAAAAAAAGCTTCCCTATTCATGCAACAGGCTTTATTAATAAGTCAGTGCTTACAATCTGGGATCATTTTTGGAACACCTTTTCATTCTGTAGTTTGCTGCTGCTTTTAAGGAGGCTTGCTTTTTTAAGCACTCATCATCATCTCATGAAAGATACAATGTCAATGAGTGCAGTCACTATAAAGATAAGAAAATATCACTTAGAAAATATCCCCTCTTTTATCGTAAAAAATTGTCAAAATATTACTTAATATGTAGAAAAAACCCAAATAAACGAAACCAGTAGCTTCAAAGATTAATTCAAAAGAACCTCTGTTTTTTTATGAATATTTATTTTGCTTCACAGCAGGAGACAAAGGAAAATAAAATGACACCTCCTGCTGAAGGGCAATAAATGCAATAGGTTCAAAGCTTCAGTGACTGGTATTCCTAGAAATTGAAAAGACTGCACAGACTAATTGTATAGGCTGTAGTGTCACTAACATAAAGTCTTTTGGATTTAATGATGTAACAGCTGAGTACTACTGCACATGCAACTGAGCACACGAGCTGCTATGGAAGTCACAAGTGCTAAATGGAAATCATGCCTGTACAGGTGAAAAGAGGGAGGTAAAAAATACCAGTCGATCACTGTTTAATTCCCGCAAGTTTCTTTCAGTAAAAGCTTCAGTATACTGTCAACATTTGTGAAAGTGTGGGTTACTTCTAATCTGTAGTTATTTGAGCAATGCCTGTTGAATCAACAGTCTTTAGAGGGTGGAGTCACAGTAGCTGTGTATTAATTCTAGATTTTCACTTCCTTCATCAGCTGCAGAGAGCCTCAATGTAAAAGAAAAAGAAGATGGTGGGAGTAAGGTTGTCAGCAATTCAAGGAAAACAAAAAAGAAAACGGATTCCCATTTTTCAAGCAGGAATTATCTCAAATACAAAGCATTTTTAAGGAGTACAAAGGAGGTGTGATCTAATTTGGAACAGAGAGTATACCAAAATAAATTACAGTAAAGTGATGAAGAGACAGCATATGAAAAAAAAGGTACTCTTCTGGCGGGAAAAAGAAAGTGACTCTTGTCCTGACTAGTTGTGGACTACGATGTATCCTACTAATAGTAGGATTTTTTTTCAGAGTTTTAGAATTAGCCTACCTCAAACATAGCTTCATCTCTGTAAGAAGGAAAATTCTCCAGTACAAGACGTAGCAATTTCTGAGCACTTTTCTCACTCATTTTAACACAGGTGAGGAAAGACCCTCCAAACTTCTCTAACAGAACTATTCCACTTTCGTTCAGCACCCGATGTCTTTCTTCAATCAAAGGCAAAGGCACTTCTGTGTCAGAGCGAAATACGTGCCTAACTTGGTCAAGCGTCATGGTGGCAAAATAGGATGCACTGGTGATAGGTATTCCTACAGAAAAGTGAAAATAAGATATTTAGGCTACCACATAACATAACATATAGACCTAATGCGGTGGTCTGCTAAAAGAAAGCACTTCTATAGGAAGATCTTCTAAGAAGCCCATCAATTCTTAAACCCACCTTTGTTTTCAGCGACAAGCTGTCCACAGAGCTGCTCACAACTAAATTTGTGAGTGCACACGTTTTTTACTACAGCTAATTTCCAACATACAACCATGGAACCGTTGTTACTTTTTGTACGTAATTTTCCCCAACTGTTTAGTCTTCTTATTTTAATTCTGATGTTTACATAGCACACTGGCAAATATAGTCAGTATATAACTAGTTTAGTCAGAATAGGCCTGTTTTCCCATTGATCCCAGTCATACTGTGCATTCACAAAAAGCGTCTTACTACTAATACCCCCTTAATTTACAAGTTACTATACAAAAAAATTAGTTAAAACTTTAATTTATACCTACTAACAGTTGGTTTGTTGGTTGTTTTTTTTTTGAGAACAGGAAAGAGTGAGTGCTAAAGTACTGGGTTTAAGTATGAAACTTTAAAATACTGGTTTGAGAAGCATACGGTTTTCCAGACTTACTTTAGACGCTCTGGTATTGGATTAGTCCAGAGGATTCTCACCTTATGCCTCATTTTTTCATTTGCCATGGAAATATGCAACTTATCTTAAGAATACACGTGAAATAACCCATGTAACGCATTGACTACTAGCAATCCTTAAAGTCTTTCGAATGGAGGAGATAACCAAGTTACAGCCACGAGTTAGATTGTTTCAGTACAAGAACATTTCGAAAGCACTTGCAGTTCCCTTCCCCAACCTCTAAGGGACGCCTCCACATACAGAAGTACTAACACAGCGAGCAGCAGCTCCCAAGAGCGTGTCCCCTTTCCGAGGCGCCGCCTTCATTTTATACGCGACGCTCGGCTTCCGACGTCCCTCGCCCGCAGCCCCGGCCCGGCCCCGCGTCCCCGGCGCTCACTGACCGTCGTCCAGGGCTCTGTTGACGGCGGCGCACAGCGACCAGTAGCCGCTGTAGGTTTTATCCTTGTACTTCACAAGGTACTTGCGCTCCTCCTGCTCGGACCAGAAGGAGAAGTTGAGGGTGTCCACCAGGAACACCCAATCTACAGCCTCCTTGTCGGCGGTCCGCGGGTTCAGCTCGTGGAGGCTCTTCCACCCCGCCAACCCGAAGTCCGCCGCCGAGGCTTTGTCGAACAGGCTCTCCGCCACGCGCCGCACCCCCTCCTCGTCCACGGAGACATCTTTGCTGTGCTCGGCTATGAACTTGGCGGACTCCAGGGGCGACGGGAATACCTCCATGCTTGGCAGGAAACAC